ATTATTCTGTGAAACTTAAAAATATCGAGAATTCCCTCTGGCACACCAAAAAAGGTGTATTTTGTCTTGTTCATGTTGAAGATAATAATAAAAGAATACAACATTGATGTCCAGAGTCCGTAGGTAGCATGGAATAGGAAAGAGGAAAGTGGAAGTGCTGTTTGCCAGAGAGAACATTTTTATAAGACTAAATCATTGCACTGTATGCTGATCACTGCTAATGGAATCTTATGTATTTACACTTTGCTAAAGGAATAGATTTTTATTGCTGAAGGTAAGATTTTTGATTTAGTGAAAAGTACTTTTTGGAGTATTGACATTCCATATCAAAGTGCTCAGGTTAGAGTCTTATATATGATTCTGATTTCTGATTCTGACTGATACAATCTCTGGAATGTAGCAGCTGAGGCACCAAGCAGATCAGTTGCCATCCGTGCAGGATCAAAAGCAGATTGGTCCATGCCATCCATCCTGGATCAAAGCCCCATCCATCCTCAGCATCACCATTATGGACTTCAGGCGATTAAATGAGAAGATAGAACGTCTGTATCTTTCTCTGCTGTTTGTCCAATGAATGCATGCGTATATACACAACTAAATGCACACATGCATACATTTATAAAGAAATGTATTCACCCAAAAAATCATCATTGGCTAGTGAGGCATATGGTATTTAGCTTTACTGAATAACTAAAATGAAAGAAAGCAGCAACTGCTCTCTGTGAGTCTGGCAGAGAAAACCTAGCATGTCTGGATCCACAGCAGTCTCCAACTCAGTCAAGTAGCATTCATATATGATTGGGAAGGGTGGGTCTCCCAAGGCTCAGACGGTTCACTGTTTCACTCAATCAAAGAAGATACATGAAAGGTTGACTAGAATTGTCCCAGGAGTCTGGCAGGTTTTGTGCAGGTGTGGATATGTCTATTAAGAAGGTAAATATTGAGTGTTGTTGGATTTATAAAGGGACAAATATCACTTTTCCTGAGTATGATTTTGGGAGAGGACCGTTTCCTGATGTCTAGGTGCTGTTTTGTTTCACTGAGATGTTGACACTACTGGAGATCCAGCAGTGGTGACATCACTAGTCTCTTGGAGCTGTGAGGATATCTTACGAAATCAGCTGTGGCTTTTACATATATGAAGCCAAGCTTATTGTTTTGATTTTGTCTTTTGACAGCGACTGAGAGCAGACAACCTGCCCAGGCAAGCCTTCCTTTGAGAAATTAGTTCATAGTTGAGAAGAATGGAACCCAGTTGCTCACCTCTGCTGTCTCCTAGAAACCTGATTTTTTTTCCCCTCTGGAGTGGCTACTGTTGTAATGATGCCAAGGCTGGTGCTGTCCTACTTCTACAGGTAATATGACAGTAATGGGCCAGGAGGGAAATGAGATGCTGCCACCCCTTCTTCTATAACAATATCTTGAGGATTCAGCTCACTGTAGATTCATATCAGAGGCTTTGCTGGGTGTCTTTCTTTGTGTCTCCAACAGCAGGTGGGTTCTGGGATTAAAGCTGGGATTTTTTTTCAGTCAAATATTAGGAAAATTATTTGCTGAAGATATCAGTCTTCAGTATCACTCCTGCTGGACATGAAATATCAATTTTATGAATTATACAGGTGCATAACAAATAGGTTTTCCAAGTGCAGTTGTAATATTTATATATGCTTGAAGTAGAGTTGAATTTATATTCCCTCATTCTAATATATTTTGATTAAGCTTGTTATTTATTTCAACTAAATTTACTTCAATCAAATCTGAACTAACTCAGTATACTTTATTTGTATTTATTTCATTTATTAATTTTCATAACTTTTGTCTCATGGAAATACATAATATTCCAGCTATAAGGAACAGGAGTTTTCTTTAAGGTAGCCAGGTAAAGAAAGTTTCCACTAGTGATTGATACTACTTTTCTGCTTACCATGAAAGTAATATTGTCTTTTAATATATGTTAAACGTTTTTAGTTATTATCTTGGATGAATATTACATGAAAGTGTGTGGTATAAGTACAACATGGTTTCATACAATATTTTTAGTTTTAGTGTTTAGGTTATTGGAATAAGTAAACTTTTAATCCATAAAGCATATTAAAATGTTTAAAGAAGTGAGCAGGAAATACTTTGCAATCCATTAAGGGAATAATGTGCATGACAGCAAAATAATCACCACCATAAATATTTCTGATTACCTTTAAAAGTTTCAAGTTACATTTGAAGTTTTAAATGGCTATTTATAAAAAGTACCTGATTTGATTTCAGCTTAATTGTTAAGTATCGCAGCTTATCCATTAATATTACCTGTGCAATAATATTTTAGTACTCAAGAATATTTAAGGTGGAAGAAAAATTGTCGGCAACCTCATACTGTTGTTGAATATAACAAAATACCATGGACTGTCCATTTTGGCTGCACAGGTATCAACACTTGAAATGTGAGCAATGGGAAATCTCTATGCTATTTTCCAATGTTACAGGACATTAGGCTTGTAAGTCCTTATTTTAAAACTTTAATTTAAGCGCTTAAGGAGGGTGAAACTCGGGTACCATGGAATCAAAGGATCTGATTAGAGAACAGGCAGCACAGGACACATTTTTTTCTTTGTTTTTGTTTTTGCTTTTTTTTTTTTTTCCTTTCTAAGTTTACCATTTGTTAGGATTGCTAGGGCTATCACTGCCTCATTGGAGCGATGCACAGGTAGGCATATGATTAGCTCTTAAAAACACAATTTCCTTTCCACAATTTGCCTGCCTGATCTAGTGGTTTTCTCAGTGTGTCTTAAGAGAGAGCATTTTCAGAGTCCCCAAATCCACTGCTTATTATTTCCTATTATTTGTACTGCTGTGTTTTTTGTCCTTCTACCTCTTCAGTACATTTTAGTGACATGTGTTTTACTGAATAGCACTGGAGAATGTGAGAGTATGAATAACTTCATTATTAACTCTGTGTTATGGCTGCAGCAACATTATATGACACAGTACAATAACTAAATGTGATTGGATGTTTACTTGCTCACTGGAACTAGTGCATTTTATTAAAAAAATTCCTGTGTGGAGTTATTCACGGTAGAAAAGATGTTTATTTGCTTAAACCTGCCGACTAATGTTATTCCATCAAAAAGTACTCACTTGTATTCCTTCATCTGAAATTCTCCTGATGTGTTAATGTTGTAAATGTTTCATATGTCTTAAAATGCTAAGAAATAAATGTGGTAAATCTTATAATTAAGATAATGCTTGTGATCATCACAAAAATAAAACAATAGTGTATCTTACCATATATATTTATTTTCTTAAATCTATGCATAATGCTAAAGTCACTGTACATTCATTCATAAAGTAACACATTAATTTATGAATCATAACAGTGTTTTGATAATTTAAATTGTGCCCAAACTTTCTTCTATTTCAGTGCCCACAAATTAGTTGCAGTTACTGCAAATTCAGTTCAAGATGGGATTGTCAGATCTCTAACATAAAACATAGGATAAAAAATTAACAAACATGCTACAAAAATAAAAATGCATCACAAGAGTGGTGAAAAAGGGAATAAAAAACCTTGCAGGAATAGATGCTATGATAGATGTTGATGAAAATGTATTATTTTCACCCTGTTGTGAACTGTGCTCACTGGTTCTATATTTAAAGTGATATATAATGGAAGTGTAGCAGGGACTGATCTGTTCAGATATGGAGACAAAGTGCTATGCATACAGACCAAAGACGGACTCCCAGTGAAAGAACTGAATACATCCTGACAGTAAGACTCTCTGACAATATCCATACCTACACTTTCAGGAAACACGTAAATAACAGCATGATGGACTTAAAACTGCTCATGAAGGACATCCATTGTAAAGCTAGAGGGGAAATCACTGGGTGGGGAGACCTTGGGAAGGGAATGGGCAATCCCAGAGCCTTAGAAACTTTATCATAATACAAGGTAAAATTTTTTAAATGTAAAAAAAAATTAACTTAGAAGTTAAGAAATCAATGATACTTTGAGGCTCACATATATTACATAGACTGCTCTCAGTAGTTAGATTGTGTAAATATTTTACTTCACCTATCAATACTCACCCATAGTAACCAAGTCTTTGCTCAATCAATTTGTACACTATCATGAGTCTCATTGGTAAAAGCTCAACTCGGTGTCAGTGCATGGTGGACATTCACAGAACGAGGGATAAGATGAGAGAAAAAAACAGATATTACTGTGAAGAGGAAGAAAACATTGAAATTCTTATGCACCTTTATTTAATTATTTTGCTGAATGCTTTGTATAAAGTATGTCAATGAAGTTATATGTGTTATATGTGTGTATGTGTGTGAGTGTGTGTATGTGTAATGAATATATATTTGCAATGACAATGATTACACAGATATATTACATGATTACATATAATATTGAAATTGATGATGATTTTTCAACTATATAAATAGTCATTCAATTTAATCCTGGCTTCATATTGTGATATGGAAGCATATCCATATTCATAGAGCAACTAGTTATTAGTTTTGATACATAACATAAGTCTTTGTGTTTTATTAGTTTAAACCCTTGGAAAATGTTCAACAGCCATTTAATTAATTATGCATGTCATGTGATTATACAGAATTTTTTTTTTTACTTCTGTCATTTACTTCTGAGTGTGAGCTATTCTTGCTTTATCTATGAATGTACAGTGTGTGTATAGAAAGTATTTCAAAATGTTTGAAAAATGAAATTAGAAGTAATAGTGTCTTTGGCAGATGTTTTTTGAAATCCACAAATAGTGGGATCTTAAAAAAAATAAATATGAGAACAACATCACTTGTTATAAAAAAATACAGCACAAGTTTCACTACCAAGTATTCTATTAAACATTCAGAATCCATAAAAAATAGGTGGGTAAAGCAAAAATGGTGATTTGTGGTGTCTTTCATGACACAGAGAGATCATCGGTAATATGTGGTATGCCTTTGCTTTCTAGGTACCTGAACTTTTTCGGTATCCTGAGATGAACAAACTCTCAACTTATGTCATTATTAAAACTGTGTATTTTTTCCAAGCTGGCATTGGCATCTTAGCCAATGCTTTCCTCTTTGTCTTCCATGTCTTTACAGTCCACCAGGTTCATAGCCTTAGACCAACAGACATGACCACCTGTCACTTGGCTTTTGTCCACATAGTGATGCTAGTTACCACATTGGATAATTTTTCTGCAGACACAATCAAATTATTGAGTTTTTCCAAAGAATTAAAATGTAAATGTTTGCTCTACATTAGTAGAGTGTCTAGAGGTCTTTCCATCTCCACCACATCTCTCCTGAGCATTGTTCAGGTCATCACCATCAGTCCCAGCTCCTTCTGCTTGTCAAGATTTAAAAAGAAACTAAAAAATTATATTATCATTGCTTTCTTCTGTTTTTGGTCCCTCAACCTGTCTTCCAATAGCAACATGATCATCTATGCTGTAGCTCATTCCAACAGGACCAATCTACTCAATGTCAGTAAGTACTGCTCACTTTCCTCAATGAACTCCATCATCATGACACTATTTTTCACACTTGCGTTGTCTCAGAATGTCTTCTTTGTAGGAATGATGCTGCTCTCCAGCATGTACATGGTGATTTTCTTATGTAGCCATCAGAGGAAGTCTGAGTACCTTCACAGCATGAGCATTTCCCCAAGAATCTCCCCAGCAAAAAGGGCCACCTGTACTGTCCTAGTGCTGGTGAGTTTCTTTGTGATTATGTACTGTGTGGATATGATCATCTCATCCTTCTCAACTGTACTGTGGAAATACGAAGCAGTTCTCTTGTATTTACAGGGGCTTGTGGTAAATGTCTACACCACTGTGAGTCCTTTGGTGCTGATTATTTCTGATAAAAGAATAATCGACATCCTGCAGAAGATGTTTGCTATGATAACACTTTAATTTGTTGAAAGCAAGACTAAGATTATAAATTTTGATATTTGTTAAATAGTCAAAATTCTGTGATTTCCAAGCTAACTCAAGTGTGCAGAATCATAATTGTAGATTTTTTTTTTTTTTGCCTTTTTTGGTCCAGAGTAGATTTGACTCCAGTCTGGTACATGACTCCAGATATGGCTTCAGTCAGCTGGGGTCAAGCTGATGCTTCTATTCAGGAATGTTTGGAATGTGGAATCCCCATAACCTTGCCTCTGCAGCAGGTCAGCCCTGCCCTGCTGAGTACTCTTGTTACACATAATAAGCATGTACAAACCAAGGAGCTTCTGCCTTCACCCTTCTCCTACACCCAACATGTAAAAACCCAGTGCAGTACTCCCTGCACAGCCATTTCCCTCAGGCACTCACTCTTCCAGACCAACTCCCACCAGGGAATTGACCCCAGCCCAACTCCCACCAGGGAGTGACCCCAGCCAACTCCCACCGGGGAGCAGTGCATCAGATTCTCCCCTCATAGGTAAAACTTTTTGAATTATAAGTCTCTCATTTTCTCTCCCTCTCTCCTATGAGTCAAACAGCTTCAGCTTGTATCTTTATTTTATTCACTTTGACAATATCATAGTGTCAAATTTCTGCATATATTTAAACTTTGTCTCTTGCATTTTCAAACTTTAATATAGGAATCATTGTTTGAGTGTGCTCATATTAAGCTCCTTTAGAAACCCAATTGCCAGGTCTTCTTATCACAGAAAATAATCAAAATGTATCTTTCCTTGTTGGAAGCCTATTAACTAAGTATCCACTTCTACCACAGTTCATTATATTCTCTATAACCTGCTTATATGTAGTCTTAACAAAATATGACTTGTGCAGATTTTATTCTTTTTGTGGATTGTCATCCCTTTTTCCACTTACGTACTTTCTTCCTCTTCAGCATTATACGCTGTAGATATTATTTAATACTTTTCTTAAATTTTCACTTTTGAAATAGTAAACTGCAGTTACAAATTTGTGTCTTGTGGTTAATTTTGAAACTTACATGACAAAGATATTTATAATATTTTCTTTATATATTCAAGATAAATATCTAGACTAGTTTTGAAATTCTAGTCTTTGTATACATAGATTTATAAATACAAAGACCTCTGTAATGTCTAATGATTTTCTTTGTAATATATTTGCCTTCTTTGTGCTTAAAATTATAGTTCCATAGACTCTTTTCAAAATAGTTTTATTCATATTATGAGAAACAGCTATTTGTCACCCATGTAGTCTATTCTAAACTTACTCTAATATTAACAGGCTTTGTATTGAAGAAATTCACCAGACTTTCAGTTACTCGCTTGGTCTTTTTCATAATTTTTTATAATTTTATGTTATGCAGTTTTGTAGCTATATGGCTTCCTCTATCTCTTATTCTTGCCCATTGATCATTCTCCACTCTCCATGTTCTCCCATGCTTTACATGAATGTGGTACTCCAGCTGTAGTCTCAACTTCAGCATTCTGCTCTCTCTGTGTATTGTGGCATCCTACGTGTACACAATGGTATAGAGTCTAGTATCGTGTTGTCTACCCAGCCGCTAAAGTCCTCACCTTGAACGTGATGGGATCCCATATTGGCGCTGGTTCTAATCCCAGCAGGCCTGCTTCCCATCCAGCTCCCTGCTTGTGGCCTGGGAAAGCAGTTGAGGATGGCCCAAAAGCCTTGGGACCCTGCACTCGCATGGGAGACTGAGGAGGCTCCTGGTTCTTGGCTCCAGAAAGGCACAGCACTGGCTGTTGCACTCACTTGGGGAGTGAATCATTGGACTGAAGATATTTCTCTCTGTGCCTCCTCCTTTCTATATATCTGACTTTGCAATAAAAATAAATAAATCTTAAAAAAATGAAAATGTTATGGATACTATATTTATTTAAGAATAGAGATGAATACTGCAAATCTTTGATTTTTGGTATTCTGGTCCCCATTACATCCTTCATTTGTGAGTTTATAAGTATATACTTGTTTATCTTTATATCTTTGTTTTTCCATTTTGAATGAATGCTGCCTTATATCAGGGAGAACAGATGATATTTATTCTTTTGGAATTGGCTTATTTCACTGAACATAGGTCTCCAGTTGGGATCACTTCATTATAAATGGTGGAATTTAATTCTTTGGAGTGGCTAAGGAGTACTCCATGAATTAGATATACCACCATTTCTCTACCAAATCTTATTTCAATGGGCATCTAGGTTCTTTTATTTGGTATTGTTGATTGTGCAACAATGGATATTGTGCAACAATGAATATAGAGATACAAGTTGTTTTCTCACCACCACCAACAGTGAAATAAAGTACCTTTCACCTCATATCCTCACCAGCAGGTGTAATTAGTAGATTTCTCTATGTGGGCAATTTCCACTGGTGTTGGGTGAAAGCTCAAAGTAGTTTTTATTTGTATTTTTTTATTGGTGGGGAGCATAAGCATTTTTCATATGTCTGTTAGCCATTTGAATTTGTTCCTTTGAATAATGTCTGTTCATTCATTTGCCTATGTTTTAATTGGTTTATTTGTTTTGTCATTGTTGTCTATGGAGCTCTTTTTAGTTCCTGCATATCAGTGCCAGTTCCTGGATATTAGCACCCTATCGGTTGTGTAGTATGCAAAGATTTTCTCCCATTTTGTTGATTGCCTCTTTGGTTTGTTGACTATTTCCCTTACTGTACAGAAGCTTCTTGGTTTGCTATATCGCCATTTATTTTGGCATTGACTGCCTGTGTTTTTATGACTTTTCCAGGAAGTCTTTGCTTATGCCTATATCTTGTAGAGTGTTTTCTATGTTTTCTTCTAACACTTTGATGGTTTCTGGGTGCAGATTTAGGTTCTTTATTCATTTAGATTATATTTTGTAAAGGTGAAATGTGGGGGTCTTGTTTTGATATACAACATTTTCCTATTCATCAACTGCCATAACAGTTGAGTTCATCTTTTGGAAATTGTGAATAATGTTGCAGGAAATGTAAAGTCACGTTTCAATACATTAGGATAAATGCTCAGAATAATGTTGGCATTATTCTTTCAATACTGTTTGAAATTATTCCTGACAATTCATGTGATGGATGCTTGGTTCTAGGGGGTGATGGTGCCTTGGTGAAATCTTTGAGATCCTAGTGTGGGGAGATTGTTAGGGAGGACCTCATTGGAAACAGTCTCTGTTTCTTAGAATGAGTTACTCTGCATAGGAGCACAGAATCGTATGCCAAGGTGATGCACATTGTTGGATTCACCTGCCAGTTCTCCCTTTGCTTGCCAAATTGCAGCACAGCCAAGGAATCATCTTATAGGGATTGACTTGGTGATGCTTTGAAAACTGGAAAAAAAAAAGGAAGGAAGGAAGGAAGGAAGGAAGAAAGAAAGAAAGAAAGAAAGAAAGAAAGAAAGAAAGAAAGAAAGAAAGAAAGAGAGAAAGAAAGAAAGAAAAGAAAAGAAAACTATATAAATTGCTTAGGCAAAGCTGAAATACGTGCAAATTCTTTGGGTCTAGACTAGGTGCATTGCTGTACGTTAGTTGACATCACTGATCACAAATCACTGATTTGGCACAATACCCTCTTTCTTACTATGTATCAGATACTCCTGCAGGTGTTGGAAATGAAGCAGTAAAGAGAACAGACATAATTCAATGCTTTCCACCTCAGATTGAGCAGTCTTTTTACTCTGTTATACTTAAACTTTAAGTCCACCCCAGTCCCTTCCAGTTTGATCAGCAATGAATAATCAGTTAAATCCTCAGGCATTATATCATCTCACAGGCAGCTGCATTTGGAGATGCAGTGCTAAATGTAGAAATTTTCCTGTAGTAAAGTTCTGGCTTGCAATGAATCTGTGCAATGGAAAAACTGTGAGAATGTCCTCAGGCATCCTGAAAATGGTGCATGTTGTAAAATAATAATAACAACAGCAATAATAATAATAATAATATAAAGTTTATCCTCAAAGATTTCAAGGTAGCATATGTTTGGTAAGTGGAAGGAGAAAAATGTTGTCAGATTTTTGCCCCAGTGGTAAAAATTTGGTTGGATTACTGGCATAATATATAACATGTGTGAGTTAGATTGTTGTATATGATCCTGATTTCTGTTTTAAATAGAAACTCTTAAAGGTGTAAGCTTAGAGATCAAGTAGTTTGGTCCTTGCCCTCATGCAACACATCTGGATTAGGATTAATCCTTGATAATAACTTCATCCTGTCAGCTCCAGCAATTAACATGTTTGGGGAGTGAACAAGCAGATCTAAACTCAATAACCCTCTATTTTTCTGCTTCTAAAACTAATGCGTGTATATTATAAATTGATAGCAAGGGAAATGTTACTTGACTGGATCATTTTATAATGAACACATGAACCAAATGATCACATCACACCCTTTAAAAATGCACACTTATTCATTGGCAATTAAAATTAATTTATACAATGCAACTCAAATAGCAATAAGTCCTTTAGATAGCCTAAATATCAAGGCAAATTTCAAAACATATATTGTATAGCTTGTGAAAATCTGTCCCAGAAAGAAGCTAAAATTAACAAGAAAAAATGCAATTTGTTTTTATCATATGCATTAATTTCATTATATCCCAGAGGGAAGATTTTATTGTGTTCTATTTTAAATTTTCACATAGTTCCACAATATATCAGTGTTAGGTTTCTTGTGCTCACAGGTAACTTTGCCAGGACTAGCGAGAACCTGTGCAAATGAAAACAGCCAGACTCAACTCTGTGAGGCTGGCAGTGAACACCTAGAATGTCTGGTAAAACCACAGTCTCCATGTTGGAGATGAAATATTCAGAGTTAACTGGGAATGCTGAACCCACACAGCACAAATGGGTAACTGCTCCAGACTGAATCAAAGAGAATACCCAAAAGATTCACCAGAATGGACATAAGAGCCAGATGAGTTGTGTGCAGGTGTGGATATGCTTGTGAAGAAGATAAATATAATGACTAACTTATAGGGAGGTA